GCCCCCATAACAACATGTCAATCTTTTTGAGCTGCTGTAACAAAAGTACCATGAACTGGGTGGCTTATAAGTACTATAAATGTGTTTCTCACTGTTCCGAAGCCTGTGAAGTCCAAGAGCAAGACACTGGCAGATTGCTCTGTGTATGCTCAAGTCGCCATGGTGCCATGTTCTCCGGGAGGGAGGAAAATATGCCCTCACATGGCAGAAGGACGAGAGGCTGGAACTCTGTGTGAAGCTTCTTTTATAAGGGCCTTAATCCCACACAGGAGGAAGGAGCCCTCACGGCCTAAACACTGCCTAAAGGCCGCACCCCCACACTGGCCATGAAGTTTTGGCACCTGCATTTTGGAAGGGACACTATGAGATCATAGTACAGACCACAGCATGACACAGGGCAAAAATCCAACAGCATCTTACTAGGAGATCAACGCTGACATTGTCAGTAGAGGCAAAGAACATGACGTGACTCAAATATGACCCTCGGAGAAGGACACGTCCCACATGTGACATTCCGGGCAGGTATAAAGTCAAATTCTAAGGAACTATCTGACCACCCTATTAAATAAAACGGGATGGGGGGCTAGGGGAGGAGCTCTCTGTCCTTCACAGGGCAACGCCAAATGACAAATGCTGTGGAGTGTTTCAGGTTAAAGGAGAATAAGGCAGAGGCGGGCCAGGCAGGGGTGCAGGGGTGGTATGACTAGATCCACAGGGGAGGTCCCGCGTTGGAGCCCCTGGGCCTCCCTGAACATGCTGGATGTGGCATCCCCCTGGTTCCAGCCAGCTGCGATTGGAAATAGATTGCAGTGTGGAGACCCTGTTTGGGGTGTCTCTTCCCCTTCTTCTGAAGAAATAAACTCTATTTATTTATTTATCTATTTTGCTATAGGGTTCAGGCATTCACTAGAGAAAGAGAGGGAAAGTGGGAGAGCACCCCCAGTGGAGATGGCACACCACAATCCCTTATGTTCCGTTCTCCTCTAGGGATTTGGAGCATATACAAATATGCACCCGGAGTGATTTTCAAGCTATGGGTCCAAGACTCAAACCATGCAGTTGCCATTTGGGATTCAGCTTCCTCAACCTCCATGCCACCTACTGGCCCATAAATAAATAAACCTTAACAAAATTTTTTTTTTTTCATTATTGCCAGAGAATGTGTGTTTGCCAGAGGAAGAAGTGTGGTCACCCGTTTCTCCATTTCTCCTTCCTATCAGGATTTTGGGTGCATACACACATATACGCAACACCAAATAAGAAGATAAAAAGAGAGACAGACAGCCCAAATGTAACATCTGATGTTAGATCAACCCTGTACCAGAGGGAGGAAATGCTATGAGGGATGTTGTTGAGTCAGTCGGCAAAACTGGATACAAATGGTAGATTAACGTATTGCACCGATCTTAAATGGACTGGTGGGTAGGCGGGCTGTGGTTGTTTAAGAGATTGTCCCTGTCTTTAGGAAATGCACACTGAAGTATCCAGGGATAAAAGGTTACACGTTTGCAAGTTATTCTCAAACAATTTGGAAAAAGTTCTGAGTATGTGACGTGCGTGTCGGGTGAGGGAGAAGAGGGAACAAATGAAGTCGGCAGAATAAACTGTGAGCCGTAGGTGCATCTGGATAACCTGTTCTTTCTACTGACCTTATTCCTGTAACTTTTTCATAATCTCAGATTATTTCCAAATAAAATGTTTGTATTCTTTTTAAGAAGTTTTTGCCTTAGGGTGCTTGCACTTGCCAGAGAGATGGAGAGACAGAGATGGTGAGAGGGAAAGTGAGAAATTCCCGGCCCCAGGGTGATAGCCATGTCTCAGTCTCTTCTTCTTGTCTCCTCTTGGGATTTTTGGGCACGCACGCACATGTACCTGGCGTGTTTCAAGTCCCTGGGTCCAGCACTCAAACTGTGGTAGGCCACGTGGGAGTCCAGAAATGTAACCACTATGCCATCTGCTGGCTCTTCCCAAATAACATGTTTTTAAAAAAGAAAAGGAAAAAAAATACGATAGTGTTATGTTCTATAAAGAAAAATAAAGCAGGGTTGCAAGTGTCAGTCATAGGAGTCATGGGTGCCTGGCCTAGATGCCACAGCCCAGGGCCTACTGGACTGAGGTGCTGGAAGCCACGTGGCTGACCTCTGCTTTGAATTCCCAGGTCAGCCTGAAAACACCTGGTGTGCGTGCCTAACATCCTGAGGAGCTGGAGGGCTGGAAAAGGGGATTGTGGTGTGACAAGACTCTGTCAGTTTGCTTCTCTTTCTCTCCACTTCTCTCTGTCATAAAAAAATAAAACCAGAAAGAGTGATGAGTAACAACTTCTCCAGGTAGAGTGACTCAAGGCAAAACCTGAATAAGGCGAGTGGGCAACCCTTGCAGGTATCTGGAGAAATAGTAAGCTCAAAGATGGGAACAAGTCTGGCACATTCATTGGCAAGGAGGCCAGTGGGGCTGGAGCTGAGCGAGTAAGGGGAAGAGCAGAAATGGCTGAAGTTAGGGGCCAGCAGAGAGTGTGGAAGTTAAGGCACTAGCTCACTTAGGGCTGAGTCTGCAGCCTGAGTTCCAGACTCTGTGGCCTGAAAACATGCAGGGTGGATGTGTGAGTGCTCGCCTAAAATTCTAAGAGACGAATGGAGGAGAAGGGGTTGTAGCATGGCCATCCCCCAGGGGAATGAATTCTCACTTTATTTTCTCTTTCTCTGGTGAGTGCATGCACCCTCTAGCAAAACTAAAAGAGAAGGAAAGAAAGATGAAGTCACTGAGACCATGGCATCGCTGAGCAGGCAGTGTCTCGTGGGGCATTTGAGAGCCGTTAGGAGTAAGGGGGAGGGTCGTGAGGGCTTTGTGCAGAAGATGGATCTGACTAAAGTTCTGCACTCTGCTGCGTTGAAAACAGACGGAAGAGGAGGCAGGAAGTGAGGCAGGGGCAGTGAGTGGGCTGTTGGAATATCTCGAGCCATAGCTGATTGCTGGCCTGGGGCCAGAGTGGAGCAGAGGAGTCTGGGGGCTTTGGGTCCTGGCTGTGTTATTAAGCATTTGCTGATTGGTGGGAAGCGCGGTACCAGAGGGGCGTTGAGGATGACTGAGTTCTTTGACCTCAACAGCGGCTATAGGTTGGAATTGCCATCGGCTGCCGAGGAAGAGACCATGGGAGAAGCCGCTGTTGGGGATACACACCCAGAAGACCAGTGTGGGGGTATTTAAGTTTCACACACCCCTTAGTTCCACACACTGAGAACTGGGGCAAGCTGTCCATGGGAGTCTGGGTCCCAGCGGGGAGGCCCTGGCAAGGGAACAGTACATAGAGGGTATTTAAAGACACGAGGGTGGATGAGGGGGCTAAGAAGCAGGATGAGAGGTGAGGTCCAAGGGTTGGGCCTGGGAAATTAGGAGGCTAACCAAGGAGCCTGAGCAGGGACCATGAGGATGGCATCCTGGAAAGCCTTGACAAGAAAGGGTTTTGAGGAGGAAGGAGTGGTCAAGTGTGCCACAAGCCACTCGGAAGTCAAGGAGTGGAGATTCAAGAACCAACAGTGAGGGGGACCAGCAGTTAGCATAATGGCTATGTCGCTGGACTCCCACGTAGTCAACTGCAGTTCGCGTCCCGGACCGGGTGGCTTAAAACTCATGCCAGGTGCGTGTGCGTGCGTGCTCAAGATCCCGAGAGGAGAATGGAGGAGAAGGGATCGTGGCGTGGCCATCCCCCCTGGGGGGTGATTTCTTGTTTTCTGTCTCTCTGTCTCTGTCTGGCGAGCGCATGCGCCCTATAGCAAAAAAAAAAAAAAAAACTAAAAGTGAGGGACCAGCAGTTAGCATAATGGCTATGCCGCTGGACTCCCATGTAGTCAACTGCGGTTTGAGTCTCGGACCTGGTGGCTTAAACTCATGCCAAGCAGCTCAAGATCCAAAGAGGAGAATGGAGGAGACGGGATTACAGCATGGCCCCCCTTCCTGGGGTGGGGGGTGGGGGGTGATTTCTTGCTTTTTGTCTCTCTGTCTCTCTCTGTCTGGCACGCACACATGCCCTATAGCAAAAGCCCCTTCAAAAACAAAACAAAACAAAACAAACAAAAAAGAAGGAATGAGAAGACAGGAAGGCACACACAGCTCTGTAGAGGTGTCTTGCTGTAAAGAGAACAAGAGAGAGGCTGGCAGGGGGTGTGGTGGTTAAGGATGCTGGACTTCCACATGGCTGATCATGGTTTGAGTCCTGGACCTGGCAGCTTGCTTTCTCACTTTCCCTCTCTCTCTCTCTTGCTCTGTCCCTCTCTGGTCAAATTAAAATAAGTTAAAAAAAATAAAAAGTTAAATAAAAGCATTCTTAACAAAGAGAGAACGAGAGGAACAAGACAGTAACTGGGCAAGGAACAGGATTGAGATGGATTTTCCTTCACTGGAAAAGGAGGCCTGGGCCTTCCCTGCAGGGTCACGGGAAGGCTGCTGCTCCTGAACGCAGGGCACGCCGTTGTTTCCAGGTAAGTGAGGCACTCTCGCTACTCCTCTCTGTGGCCTGACCCTGCTTAGAATTGACCCCTTAATGCTCCCTGGCTTAAATATTAACTTCCTGACACGTTTCTTTATGCAGCTCTGCTCGAAGCCCTGTTCTCTCTTCTCTGCTCGAAGCACTGTTCTCTCGTAACCTGGATTCCTCTCTTTTTATTCAACTTCATATTTATGTCATGAGAAAGTAAGAGAGTAAGAGAGAGAGATGAGGACCGTGGACAGGGTCTTGCCAAGCCGTGGTGTCCCTGCTCTCCCCGGCCTTTCAGCCAGCCGGAATCATGGGCACGCCGGTGTGCGTCGAGTGTGTCCCAGGGCCTGCCCGCGTGGCTCCAGGATTGTGCCGTGGCACCAACCACCATGACCAGGCCTGATTGCTCACATCTCATCTGGCCTTTTTCTCCCATAAGCCCCCAAAGTACCCCCGAGCGTCCCCATCCCACCCGCTCTGCAGCACCCCTTCACCATGCTGATTGCCTTACTTTTCGTGTCCTATAAAGAGACCCTCTTTAATTTTTGGAAACTACAAAAACCCATTCACCTGCAATTGGACTCTCAAGATGAACACGAACACCTCTAAGTGCACAATATGTGGATAGCAAGCATTGTATCCCAGAGGAGATCTGAGGGTCAGTTGAACGATGGTAGAAGACGGTGAATTCTCAGAGACAGCGAGGAAGAGACCAGTCCCAGGTAATTGTCAAGGAAAACCTGACAGGTCTTATCAATGGCTGGGAGATAGGTGTCAACACTGCTCAATACAGTATACCTTTTAACAATTCTACTTCTAGGAATTTACTTAAAATTTTAAAAGTAGTCATTCAGTGTACTAAGAATATGTAAAAGGACGTTCTCCATATCATTCTCCATAATTGCAAAACATTGGAAACCTTCCGAGCATCAGCAATATAGGGCTGCTACAGCCAGCCTGGAACATTTACAACACGGCCCGTTATCCAGTCACCGAAGCGGTCATGCAGAGCTGAGTGCGCATCCCCCAGGGAGGTGTGTATGATACAGCCAATGAACAGTGGGTTATATACCTATTATATACACAGCAGTTAAAGAGGTGCTGTCTTAGTAGGAGTGATTATGCAAGTTTTGTTTCTTTTTTTTTAAGAGAGATTTTTGCTATAAGGTGCATGTGCTTGCTGCACAGAGAGAGACAGAGAGACAGAAAGTGAGAAATCACCCCCTGGGGGGATGGCCATACCACAATCCCTTCTCCTCCATTCTCCTCTCGGGACCTTGGGCACGCACACACACGCCCGGCGTGAGTTTAAGCCACCGGGTCATGGACTCAAACTGCAGTGGACCACATGGGAGTCCAGCGACATAGCCATTATGCCAACTGCCGGTTCCCCATATCATAGACTTTTTGTAGACCCTTGCATATAATAAATAACTAAATAAATACTTTTTTTTTCTTTTTTAAATGCTGCCACTACTTGGAAGAAGATGTAGGTTATACATTTCTTGAAATAGCCTTTTACATTTTAAGACTCTAGCTGAAAATAAATGCCAAATAAATCCACTCATCACAACTCAGTAGTTCTGAAGAAGACTCGCTTCCTTATATACACTAACCACAAAGTCAAGTATAGAATGCATTTATTTATTTTTGAGGGAGTTTTGCTCTAGGACGTGTGTACTTGCTGGAGAGACAGAGAGACAGAAAGTGAGAAATCACCCCCACTCCTGGAGGGAGGACGGCCATGCCGCAATCACTTCTCTGCCATTTTCCTCTTAGGATTTTGGGCATGTACACATATGTGCTTGGTTTGAGTTCAAGCTGCTGGGTCTGGGGTTTGAACCATGATCAACCATGTGGGAGTTCAGTGCCTTAACAACTGTACCACCTGCTGAGCCCAGGGCATTTTTATTTTATTTTATTTTATTTTGTTTTATTTTTGTTAGAGAGCTTTTTTTGCTATAGAGCATGTGTGCTTGGCAGAGAGACAGAGAGACAGAAAGTGAAAAATCACCTTTCAGGGGAGATGGCCACGCTGCAGTCCCTTCTCTTCCAGTCTTCTCTTGGGATTTTGTCCCTGGGATCCAGGTCCTTTAAATACTAGGCCATGGGTCCAGGGCCATAATGTATAAATCTGTACTATTTATTTTTAAAAGTGGAAACAAGTGCCTTGCCAAGGGGTGATAGCTAAAGTGAGAGAAATAGCTAAGATTGCCCAGACAAGCCAGTGAGAGGAGAGTGGAGATGTCTGTATGCAGGAGGAGCCAGGAAAGAACTTACCAGTGAGGGGAAGGGCAGGAAGAGCCCACAAAGCCAGAGAAGAGAGCTGGCAGGAAGGGCTTGCTTATGGCACCCACTGCGGGCTGGCTTCCCAGAGCTACGGCAGACCACCTCTGCCTCGTCCATCTCCAGGACGAGTTGAGCTGCAGTGAGGAGTAGCCACGTGGTTGCCTCTTGCCAGTAAGATGTTGGGGAACTTTTGGAAAAGATCTTTCTTTCCTGATGAGGGAAGCCTGCAAAGAGAAAACCTCTTTTCTGTGTCGTTCCCTGATTCTCGCCTTTGAATGCAGGCGTGTGAGGGTGTGATGCTTGGAGCTGTCATGGCAGACAGATCGCCAGCGTAACAGAAAGGCCGAGGGAATCGGAAATAGTAACCTAGAACCCTGTCTTTCCTGTGAGACAAGGAGACACATGTTTGTTATATCAATTGTCACTCTGGGGGCCACTTGTTACTGCAGCTGAAATAATTAACTGATACAGAAAATGGGAGTACAAAGTTGTTAGTGAACTTGAACTTTCAGATCATACTACCCAGGGGCAACCGGGGTGCAGCTGATAAAAAGGTCAGTGTGTGGGAGGGGAAGTAGAGGAACAAGGCTGGACCACACGTCTTTTTCTTTTATTTTTAAAAAAGAATTATTTAATGTTATTTATTATTTGAAAAGTTGACAGAGAGAGAGAGAAAGTGAGAAAGCAAGTTGCCAGATCCAGGGCTTGAACTATGGTTAGCCATGTGGGAGTCCTGCGCCCTAACCACCATGCCACTTGCTGGCCACTGGACCACACTTCTGAGCTGCTTTTGAGTGGCAGAAAAATAGGATAAAATGGAATCAGCAGGGGGACATAACATATCTTCTATGCCATTAATGTCAAAAGACTTCTATGAGGACCAGCAGATGGCATAATGGTTACATTGCTGGACACCCACATAGTGGACTGTTGTTTGAGTCCCAGACCCAGTGGCTTAAAACTCACACAGGGCATGTGTGTGTGCGTGCCCAAAATCCTGAGTGGAGAATGGAGGAGAAGGGATTGCAGCATGGCCATCCCCTTGGGGGGTGGTTTCTCATTTTCCATCTCTCTGGCTAGCACACGTGCCCTATAACAAAAATCTCTTTACAAAAACCAAAAAAATAGAAAAAAGACTTCTATGTCATTGCTCAAATGAAAGACTGATTGAGAAGGGATGTGGATCTTTGAACTTTCAATGTTCAAGCACATAGGAGATGCTTATTAAATGGCTATCACATGGGACCAGCAGTTAGCCTAATGGCTATGTCGCTGGACTCCCATGTAGTCGACTGCGGTTTGAGTCCTGGACCTGGTGGCTTAAACTCACGCCAGGTGTGTGTGCGTACGTGCCCAAGATCCTGAGAGGAGAATGGAGGAGAAGGGATTGCGGCGTGGACATCTCCCCTGGGGAATGATTTCTCACTTTCTATCCCTCTGTCCCTTTCTGGCGAGCACACGCACCCTATAGCAAAAACCTCTCCAAAAAAGAAAAAAAAACTGGCTATCACTATTATCATTATTTTACAAGGCCACTCTTGGAGATGTTATAATCTTATGGTAAGTTTTAGATGACCCAGAGGTGGGGCCAGCAGATGGCATAATGGTTTTATTGCTGGACTCCTATGTGATTGATCTTGGTCCCAGACCCGGTGGTTTAAAGCCCATACTGGTGTGTGTGCATGTGTGACCCAAATACCGAGGAGAATGGAGAAAGGATGCGGCATGGCCATCCCCCACGGGAGTGATTTCTCACTTTCTGTCTCTTTGTCTCTCTGGTGAGTGACACACCCTATAGCAAAAATCCCTCCTCTCTCTAAAAAAAATTAAAAATAAATAAATAAATAAATAAATGACCCAGAAGTACTCTGGCCTATGTACAGTCTGTCCCTGTGACACTATAGAGTGTGACCAATGGAGAGAACACTGGCTTTGGAGTCAGGTTGCATGTCCTGCCGGGCTGAATTTTGAGTCTGTGTCTTCACCTGTAAAAGGAGAGAAGAGTCCCTCCCTCTCAGCACTGACATGAGAAGTAGATAAGGCACTGCAGGTGCTGGTACGCTGCAGGCGTTAGAGTGGAGAGCCTTGTGGTAGACGCTGCAGATTATGTGCAAAACATTCCATCTTTTTTCTTCTTCCTAACAAGACCTCACTTTCATCCAGGCATCTCTCCCTCATACATAAGAAAATCTTTTATTTTAAGAATTATTAATTTAATTTAATTTATTATTAATATATTTTTTAAAGAATCATTTTATTCAACTTTATTTGTTTTAATTTGACCAGCGAGGGACAGACTAGGGGTGGAGGGAGGAGTGAGAAAACAAGCTGCCAGGTCTGGGACTTGAACCAGTCGGCCATGTGGGAGTCCAGCACCCTTAACCACCATGCCACCTGCTGGCCCCAATTGTATTATTATTTTAAAAATTTGCTCTAGGACAGATGCACTCACCAGAGAGAGAGAGAGGAAGAGAGAGAAAGCAAGCCGCCAGGCCCAGACTTGAACTGTAGTCGGCCAAATGGCAGTCGAGCACTTTACCACATCACCTGCCGGCCCCCATAAGGAAATCTTAAGGATCAGAGAAGCATTTCTGGGGTCTCCCAACCCAGTAATTATGAGAGGCAGCATTTGAACCCAGGTCTTCTGGCTCCCAGCCCCCTCCTTGTCTCAGTATCTCCCCTCTCTGGAGGAATCAGCACATTTATCTAAGGCAGCATCCCTGGGTGTTGAACGTTCTAAACCGTAGACTGCTTCTCCCCAAGTGATCAAAATGTGAGACAGAAGCCATAAACGTCTTGAGGACCAAGCCTAAGAAGTGACTTGGCATCCTGTCTGCCATGACCCACACACACACCAATCCTCAACAGAAGGGGGAGGGGACCACATGGGTGTGAATCCTGGGAGGTGAGACTCCTGGGAGCCTTCTTGGGAGCGGACACTACAAGCATCGTAGCACGATTATAGAAACAGTGTTGACATGACACATCTCCTGAAGAGCTTGGGGACCCCAAAGAGATCACAGACCACATCTGAGATCGTCAATTACATAAATGATGCTACCATTTTGAGATGATTCTCAGATTTAGCTTTCTTTTGCAGATTCACCCATTTGTCAGAGAGCTTCAGAACCGAGCCAGAATCGGGCTGGCAGGTGGCGTGGTGGCTAAGTTGCTCGACTCCCACATGACCAACCACGGCGTGAGTCCTTGACCTGACGGCTTGCTTTCTCACTCCCTCCCTCTGCCCCACCTCTCTCTGGTCCAATTAAAACATAATAATAATAAATAAAATAAAATAACTTTAAATGAAAATTTTAAAAGAGCCAGAAGAGGCCAAAGACTCTTCATCTCCGGGGACGATGGCAGAGCGAGGGTTCTGGAAGAGCAGTGCAGTAGTCTTCCAGAACAGATAAAGTGCCATGTGGCCATTCAGAATTTCTCATCATGGGCTTCTGAATCCTTGGACTTATCTTTAATTTCCTTGACCATTTTTAATCTGAACCAATTCTTGACTAACTTGTTCCACAAATTCCCTGTATTAAATAATTTCTTTAATTTGTTCTAGCAGGCTTTGGCTAAAAATCCCTGAGGCAGGCTTCATTTCTACATGCTAAGCTTTGGCAAACACACTCATGAATAACTCAGCCAAAAAATCTCCATTTTATTTTATATTTTTATTTTTTAATTCTTTTAAAGAGGTATTTTATTTTAACTTTATTTAGATTTGATCAGAGAGGGACAGAGAGAGAGAAAGAGAGAGAGAGAGAGAAAGAAAGTGAGAAAGCAAGCTACCAGGTCTGTGACTCAAACCATGGTCGGCCATGTGAGAATCTAGGGCCCTTAACCACCACACTATTTGCTGGCTCCAGCCTTCGTTTTAAAACACTAATCTTTGTTTCCTGTCAGAAGCGTCCTGAGATTTTCATTGTGTGACACAGTTGGGCTGGGCTCCCGTGCCACGCTGGCTCCTCCTCCACTGTGTTCTTCTCGAGACCTTGACTGGGCAGAGCTTCAGCACGGAGGCTGCATTCAGTGGCAGTGAGTCTGGGACAGGATGACGGTGTTCCATTTCCCCAAGTTTGTTACAATCACTCTCAAAATCCAGTTTGCACAGTGGGCCACTGAGTCACGTGTCCAGCTTCCTGCTTCCCTTCCGATAGCAGCCCCTGCCCTGGCCTGCCTCTCCCCAGGTTTTGGTGGAGGTGGAACACATACTACCCTCTTTGGTCCAGAGAAGAATAAATAACCAGGTTGGACTTGCCAGGGTCTGGAATTGTTTTCAGGGAAAACCAAACAGAAAGGCCCTTTTGCTTCTAGAATCCAGAGACAGAGAACTGGAAGAATGACGTAGAGCAGCCTGCAGCCATGTTTCCCACTGCTGCATTCAGTAGTCAAAGAATAGCCAAACAAGACAGAGCCAAGACTAAGACAGAGACAGAATTTGTGATCCTGGACTTACCCCCGCCCGAGGCGTGTTCCAGCTCCCTTTGGTATGTCTCAACAAACCCAGGAGTGTTAGGTTTCCACCACTTAATCATCCAGTTGATTCTTGGGGCCACTACTAGGTTGCCAAGAATCTGCTCCTGGGAGGAGCGTGTGTTAAGAGAAAGTAACTGCGGGCTGGGAAGGCAGTGAAGATTGAGAAGGAGGATTGGGAAGGGGCTGGTCAGCCAAGGCAGAGAACCAGGAACAGTACTGCATGGTTGTCACAGGGTGATGGGACACTCCCACTGACTTGGTAGGAGTACAAATCAGCACTTTCAAAAGGGCAATTTGCAAACCCCTTAAAATGAAATGTTCCTCTTCGAGCCGATACGGCTACACACCACACCCCCATGGCTACTCAGCACAGCCTCATGTGTTGTGGTAAACGTTGGCAATAATCTCAAATACATCATCAACAGGGGATGGGTTAAATAAATTACGGAAACACGTCTAAGTTCCATGAGATGGCCGTACAGGGAAGCCTGTGAGACTGTAAAGCACTTATTTAGAGACATGTGTGTCTAGTGTGTGGAAAGAAGCAAGCTCCCGTCAGCAGTGAGCTCTGTGGGGAGGGAAGTGTAATAGAGAACTTTCACTTTCTGTGTATGAGCCCAACATAATCTGAGAGATTAGTTTCTGTCCTGTTTCTGCTGCTGTAAAAAAATGCAATAGTGCTCCCCTTCTCTGTTAGTACAGTGTATTCTGGGCTTAGGACCCCTGGCCTTAAGGGGTCATTCATTCACAGGACAAACACAGGATTGAGTGCTGTATGAGGCACTTGTGTTGGCCCTGGGCGTATAAGAGCAAAAGAGACTCACTTCCTTCGGGGCTCTTGCACGACGGTGAAGACAAGCAGTGATTGTTGTGGAGAAACACAGAGGGAGCGAAGGGGGATAGAATGGTGGGGGGGTGGGGATGCCAGTTTCCTAGTAAAGTGGTGAGAGAAAGCCTCATTGCAGGGACAACCTAAAGACCCAAAGGAAGGAGGAAAGCCAGGCAGCTCTTGGGAAGAGCTTTTCCAGGCACAGGGGTCCGCAGGTGTCACGTCCTTCAAGCTGGAGCACGCGTGATGAGTTTGAAGCCACGAGTCAGTGTGGTTGGAACCAACAGTGAAGAGTCAGCAGGAGATGAGGGGGAGGTTAGGGACAAGGAAAAGGCAGGAGGCCTATGGGCTTGAGGCTACTGTATACTCTGAGTGTGATGAGAGGGCACAGCAGGATTTGGACCCACCTTAAAATGGTCACTCTTGTTGTTCTGTAAATAGAGAAGACAGGTGGAAGCAAGGAGGCCAATTGAACGTCGTTACAATGACCAGGTGGGAGAGAGTGTCTTCGACTATGATGACAGGAGGGGCTGGGTCTAAATGAAGTGTGATGGCAAGCTGATGGATTTATTGGATGAGGTGGAGGACAGAGAGAAAGGTTCTCTGGGCCTGTGACTTAGGGCCCAGTTTCGTTTGTTCTTATGATAACATGCAGATCTGTAGAAAGACAGAACCCTTGATACTTGTCACACCATGACCCCTTTCCTCAGTCCTCTAGCTCCTCAGGCGGTGCCCACGTGCATGCCCAGCCTGTTTCAGGTTGATTCAGGGATCCAAACCTGGGGTAGGCCATGTGGCTTCCAGCACTGCATCCAGGATGCCTGTGACTATGCCACCTAGGCTGAGGGCCCCGTGGGAAGACTGTCAGAGTGTGGGAAGACAACCCCTCCTGCAGGCCTATGTGAGGCTCCAGTCCACGGAGCCATCCGATTGCAGCATTTGTGCAAATCAGAGAAGCTGGAGGACAGAACCAAGGAGGAGGCTTACGGTTCTATCAGGGGACAGACCCATGCCCTCTGTGCAGCACACCTGGCTCCAGACCAAGGTGTGGGTGTTGGGCAGGTCAGCAGAGGCCGGATACCTAGTGTCTTGACACACTTGGCTCTGGGGGAAAAAAGAACAGATCACATTTTCACCCACCATAGCAAACTAAGGCTCATAGCCAGATTTTAACTTGACTTAGAAAAACTGAGTGTTGGGTCATTTCCTATATCCATGTCTTGTGAAGCAACTCAAGACTTACTACACACACTTTATGTTTTACTTTTGCTTTTTAAAGGTGAGTTACTTTAGTTATCAAAACTAAAAAGATTCTTTAGAAAGAATGGTGAAATGGCCAATGTAATCAAACATTGGGTCGTTGGAAAAGTCTCTATTTTTCTACGCAAAAATGTATCATTACTTTTCCGATAACATAATAATTCAGAGAGGAGCCAGGTTACTGAGAAAAAAGGTGAGATGAGATATTTCCAAGGAAGGGGTGGAAGCCTGATAGTAAGTAATAAAGAATGGGAAGTTGGGGGCCAGCAGGTGGCGTGGTGGTTAAGGCTCTGGACGCCCACATGGCCAACTGCAGTTTGAGTCTTAGACCCAGTGGCTTGAAACTCATATCGGGCACATGTGAGTGCGTGCCTAAAATCCTGAGAGGAGAATGGAAGAGAAGGGAATGCAGCTTGGCCATACCCCCCAGGGGTGATTTCTTCCTTTCCCTCTCACTGTCTCTCTGGCAAGTACATGTGCTCTATGGTATAAACCTTTTTTTAAAAAAAAGGAAGAATGGGAAGTGTGGAGAAGGCATAATTGTTGGACTCCCACATGGTCAACTGTGGTTCAAGTACCGAATCCAGCGACTTAAAATTCACAACGGGCGTGTGCGTGTGCATGCTCAAGATCCCAAGAGGAGAATGAAGAAGGGACTGTGTCATAGCCACTCCCCACTGGGGTGGGGGGGTTATTACTCACTTTCTATCTCTGTCTCCCTGGCAAGTGCACATGCCCTATAGCAAAAAATCTCTAAAAAAAAAAAAAGAAAGAAAGAAAGAAAGAAAGAAATGGGAAGTGTATAAGAAGTCAAAGCCATGAGCATAATCCTCATTTGAAAAGCTTGACAGAGGAGGGAAGGAGGCAGTAAGTGGCAAGGACAAGCAAATGCCACACAATTCTGAATAAAGTTTATTAAATAATATGTACAGCATATGTAATCCAACACTTCTGTTTACCAAATCCATCCACTGCAATAAAGAAAAATAAATGAACAGAAAAAACCTATGTCCGCATCGTACATGCGCTCAGTGTGTAATTTAAATGGCAACACTTTAAATTAATTGGTTATATATAATGTCACTTACTTTTCTTTCAGAATATAATCTTTTTTTGGTAGTAACCTATTCTAGCAATAGGACTTAATACTTCTGCAGATAAATAAGACAGCAAAAACAACAAAAACTAAACTCCCCCAAAAAATGAAAACAAAAAACCCCGGAAATGAAACAAAACAATAACTGAGATTATAGTCATTGGCTCTCCCCAAGAGAATGCTTATTGTAGGTTTTAATGTTTTAATGGCGATTCTTGTGCTCAAAATCTGCAGGTGAGTTACTTGGAATTCCTTCAATGAAATAAAAACGCAAAAAAAACTTCATGACTTCCTTATTTTACCCCCAACCACTCAAATTTTTAAAATGACTTTTCTATACAAGGTAGGTACATGGGCTATACAAAGTTAAATGTACATATTTACAGTACCACTTACCCACTTTTTAAATTTTTTGTTACCGATCCCAGAGAGACTGCAAAAGATAAGTAGTTGGGGGCCTGCCTTTGCCAGGAAGCATGGCTGATGTATCAAAACACGTTGCAAGGCATGCCGCTGCGGGTTAGTTGCA